AGTAAGTGTATGAACTTAAAAAGAAAATATCATTAGAAGACTCTAAAGCATATGCAGAACAAGTTCTACATAGAAAGAAAATCACATCAAGCTTCTGAACATTTGCTCAAGACCAAAGACTGGACTGCTGTGCTGGGAGAGACTTAACAGACCACAGGAACCTGGAACTGGAAATGAAGAGTGAGTAAGGAAATGGTCCTCGCTTAGACCATCAGCCGAAAGGGGCTTCGAAGAAACTGGCACATGTTGCTAAGTTAAGTGCTTCTCTACAACTTTAGAAAGAGAAAGAAACTAAGTTCATACTCAAGTTATCTGAAGCAGGTAAGACAAAGGAAGATTTTGTAGAATATATTAAAAATCTCCAGACCGAACGAGCATCTTTGCAGTCAGAAAGTACAGTTTCAAAATGAGAAACAGAAGGTTTAGCAGAAACTGAAAGTACAGACTGAACTATATCAACAGAATGTGAGCACTCTGCAGGAAATTGACAGCAGAGGGAAGTTACTGGTTAAAACAAGAGGAGAAACTTTCCAAACTAGAAGAAAATATCAGCCACACAGCTAAAGAGCTGGACACCCACAGAAATCAAGCCAAAGACCTTGAAGAAGGGAAAGAGCCGCTCCCTTCTATCAAGGGCAGTTGATGTGCCAGCAGAGAATAGCACATGATCACCAGGTGGCAGCTAGGACTGCTGAAAGGAACCTTAATGACCTAAGAAAGAAAATGCTCACAATAGACAAAAATTAACTGAAACAGTTTCAATTTGAATTTAAAAGATCTTTATCCTTATATCCATACTTGGTGTTTCAAGTACTGCATTTAGAAGACAGCATTCCCTAGATGGCCAGCATCTATAAGGAAACCTTTTGGCTGTCTTTCAATTTTGTGGAAAAAGCCACTCAAACTCTCCCCTTTGCCTCCAGGAGAAGGAAGAGGCTCAAGAGGCTTAGAGAATCCTCTGGATCCTAAGCTTAGCAATGAAAAAGGAGACTCCAGCTGTGTGACACTTAACTGATCCTCACGGAGCACCCTCTGACAGTAGGTTCCTATCACCTCCAACAAATCAGGACTGTAAGATGATGATTCCTTCACCAAGGCAACCATATCCTGATCCAACTCACCCTCTACAAGGTAGGATGTTTTAATTCTGGTAGACTATCAGTACCAGCAGAATTTATAACTCTGAATATGCATTTTTTGGATATAGTAGACAGGCTAGTCTCTGCAGAAATGAAACCCAGTAGAAATGATACCAAAGAAGATCTTGGTAACCCAAGTGTCTCATTCACGTCTCCCCGCTGAAAGCAAAGTAATGTGCCTGGGCTTTGTTCCTCCATTTTCTCTTCACAGAGGTCAGTCTTTTCTCATGCATCCAAGGAGCCAGGTCAAGAGATTTTCCTCTAGTTCCTCCAGAAAACATGGAGTCTCTCAAGATTATTTTCCATTAACACATTGCTCTGGTCCACATCTTCCATTCCCAGTGAGAAATGTCTGTTCACTATGGGGTTGTCCTCAGAATGTTTCTCTGGGAGTTGTACTGTTCTCCCCAACCCTACCTGTGAAGACAGCCCCCTTCAGGGTTGATTTAGCCTGCTGCTGCACTTCCAGGGCCACAATAAAAAACCTGACTTCTATGTCTCTTCAAAAGTAATCTGGACATATCTCTCATTTTCAGTTCATCTTTGGGGATGATATTCTATAAATAAAGATGATTTAAATGTGAAAAATTCAAATCCTCAGATCATGAACCTACATTAAATATCAATTAATAAAAATGAACAAAGTATGTATTTTATTGTGCTGTATGGCAACTGCTACAAAGATCTCTTGTTTTGTTTTTCTCCAGGTAGTAGAGTTCCAAAAACAACCAGTTTGAATTTACTTCAATTCTCTCAATCACAAAGTTCACTTTATCAATCAGGCTCCATAAAAATCTTGCTGAAGAAATGGGAAGTAGATGAATTTAAATAACCTTCTGCCTCGGCTCACGGGGATTTTCTCCAGTTGGTTTTTATGCTGCTGGGAAACATCTTGAGCTGAAAGTACAATAAGACTTAGCAATACACTGATAGTGACTACTTTCTGGTTCTCAAGAACTAGGTGAGTAAGAAAGATTCAGGGTAACTAACTAGACTGTAAGCATCTTACAGGAAATTTAAGTTGTAAAAGTCATAATGAATAGATATGATTTTGGGGCAGGGATTTCTTTAGCTTTCCCAAAGTGACTGAGATAAAATAACTAAGCCTAGAAAAAGGAAGCATTCCTTAATTACATTCTATGACAATTTTGAATACTGCATGTTAAACATGGTTGGTTTAAAAAAATATTAGCATGACAAAATTGGTAACATTTATTTACTTTTATTCATTTAGTGTTACTCTGTTATTGCTTCACCTTTAAGAGAATAGCAAATTTTTCCTTAGTTTTTATCAGAGGTTTATTAAGACATGCTGAGATCTATGATGCTTTTAATTAGTCCTACTTAACTTTTAAAAGGTTTCAATATAAAAGTAAAACAGCACAAAATAGACAAAGTAGCAATTTCAGAATAGATTAATAATGTAATAAAACTTTATCTTAGTAAATATTTCTGGGTCAATATCTAAGATAGGATGCAACTAAAATTTAAAAATACTTAAAAACAAATATTTACAAAAATTCTGTAACCTTTTAAGAATATGAATCTGGAATCTCCAACTGTAAAAACTGTTAAATAATGTGAGAAAAATACAAATGAGTGAGGAGGACTTTACAAATGTAGATAATAGAATATTTAAAATTCATTAGTTAAGAAAAAAAATTAAGAGATTCAAGAAGCATGCATTTCCAGTGATATGAAGAGACTATGAACTGTGAATTCACAAAGTAACTATCCTGAGCTACATTGCAGCAGTTTTTAAAATTATTTCAGTGAGGTTATAATGTTTGGGTACACTTTGTTTCTCACAATGTTCTCTTCTATACAAAATTGGGTGGGTGTGGTGAAGCACACCTGTAATCCCAGCACTCTGGCAGTCTGAGGCAGGAAGCATTAGGATTAAAGTTTGAGCACAGCCTGTGCAAGACTCAGTCTCAAAACAAAAAATGAAAAAATGGCTGGGGATGTAGCTTAATGTAAAGACCCTGGGTTCAAAACTGGAAAAAAAGAAGGAAAAAAAAAAGAAAAAAGAAAAAAGATCAGAAGAAAATATACATTGAAAGTATACCACGATTAAAAAAAAAAAAAATGGTTCAAATATAAAATATTAGAAATACCAAGTTGAGAAAATTAAAAGTCTCATGTTTATTGACAATACAATCACTCTAGAAAAGTGTTTTTTGTAGAATTCACAAAGCTAAGTACATAACCACACTATAATACACTAATTCACACCTTAGGCGTATATTGAAGAGAAAGGAGTGCATATGTCCATTAAAATATATGTATAAGAATGTCCACAGCCACTATGTTCTTAATGTTCAAAATCTGAAAACAACCCAAATGTTCTAATCATACAATACCACTATAAGTGCAAGAAAGCACATACAACATTTCAGATGTTTACATCTATTTTTAAGAAGTTTGAGGAGAGGTGAAATGATAAAGTCAGAGTAGTCATGTTTGGGGAGGTGGTAGTGTATGCAACAGAGGCATGACAACATTTTGGGGTGCTAGGATTTTCTGCCTTCATCTGAGGAGATCACAACTATGACAGTACAACAACAAATTACTGAACACACAACAAATAAAAGAGAAAATTCAATTAAATTCATTAAAATTTAGAATTGTATAAAAGTTAAATGTTCAGTTTATTTATTACTCTACATCAGCGATGGATAATCTTTTACAGCTTTCAATGCTAACAAATATCCTGGTGTGGTACACGTACCATATGTTCGCCACCACTGTTCTTTTGTTTTTTTTGGTACCGGGAACCAAGCTCAGGACATTTTGCTCTCCAGGTAGGCACTTGTACCACTGGGCTATATCCTGGGCCCTTCTCTGTATTTTTCTTTAGGAAAGTCTAATTCACAGTAAAGGTTGGTACAATTAACTGACTTTTTTATATCTATGTTTACTATTTATTAACAAAAAGATTGCTAACATTTAGAATTTAGAAAGTATAATAATCTAACCCAAACCCATTAATGCTTATTTTAAGAATATTACAATCAAAGTTTATTTTGGGCTGGTGAAAGTTTTTTTTATTAAATAAACTATTTACTTATATTGCCGTTTTTGAGGTGGGGAGGACAGGGTCTCACTATGCAGTTCAGGCTGGTCTTGAACTCATTTTGTAGCCGGGGCTGGCCTCAAACTCACAATGATCCTCCTGCCTCAGTCTCCCCAGGTGCTGGGATTACAGATGTGCACTACCACACCCAGCTATATAGCTTCTCAAATGCATCTTTAGTTTTAAAAATAAAATAATATATAAAAGCAGCTGGTTTATTCTCTTGGTTTATTGTAAGTATTAAAAGTTATGACTTGAGATGGCATATTGGGGAGATTTGGTGTTTCCTGACACTACAAATAGTTAAAAATAAATTGCATTTATCATCCAGAAAGAAAACCAAAAAGAAAAAAAAGTATCTTTCCACAGTTGAAAATAGTTTTTCATGAAAGGCTGAGAGTAAAATAATCTAACACATAATTCCTAACAAAGAAATGATGCCACTTCAAATTAAAACTACAAATTTAAATTAAGTAGCTTTATAAAATATTGCAAACTAGCTAAAACTACATGCATAGGCATTTAATCAAGAGGAGGAATAGCAATGAAGTTTAAATATGATAGGATTTATCAACAATAAATAAACATTTTTAGTGCAAATAGTGCAGAAAAATTCCTCAAAGATCATAGCAATCATCCTAATCTGTACAAAATCAGTCTCAGTTCTATATACAATCTATATAGTATTGTATATCTGTGAATTCAGCCCCTGTGATGAAATGCCAACTTGCCAATCATAAATATAAAACAATGTGCTTAGTTCTGTGTCCCATTTTTCTCTTGGCAGTTCATGTTTTCAGGAAAATCTGGAAAGAAAGGAAAATTTTAGAAATCTAAGCTGTAAGTGATAAATTTTCATCCCTTAATGTTCTTTTACAATTAAAATTTACATATAAGATAACTTGATTAGAAGGGAAAAGGGTGAGGAAAGGATTTCAGTATGGTAATACAGTATATGTAAGCAATTTTTCAAAGTTAATTTTTTTCTAAAAAAGTTAATTTTTTAGTCATTCTAAAGTTGTGTAGAATACAAATTTGCAAAAAGTTAATACAAAAAGTTAATTTTTTAGTCATTCTAAAGTTGTGTAGAATACAAATTTGCTGTAAAAATTAGCCCTACATTCAAGATTTCCGCTACAAATCTCAAAAAATAAGATATGAAACAATTCAGAACGGGCAGTAATGTGAAGCATGGGGAAAGATCAGATGAATTTAAACTCAACATGAGAAATGTCTGTCACCCTCTTCCTTGGAGTGTACTTCCTTTTTTGGGAGAATTCCCACGTTCTTTCTCAAAGTCCACTCTTTCAACCCAGTGGGTGGGACAGAGGACCACATAACAATACTAATATCCAGGCCAAACTAATTACGCCAAGATGTACATCTCACCCCTCTCTTTCCTGAAGATTTGTGTTAGAACACAGAGAACTTTTTGAGCTGCATTTTATTCATTTTGGCTCTATAATGTATCCTTGAATTATCAAATAACCTTGGTTTTACTTAGGCTTGCTGGGGTGAGATTTGCTCTTGCAACCAGTCATTCCTAAAGCAATAGAGATGGGGAGGGAAAAGGAAAAAGATCAGGTGAACAATGACGGGTTGGCAGAAGGTAAAACAGGACATGTAGGATAACACAAGGGGAAAATGGAAAATGAAAATGAAAGATCTGAAATATGTGCCAGATTATAAAATTTTAAAACCACAGAGAAATTTGGCACTTATACTGTCCTGCCTAGTGTCTCACTATAGCTTTTGCAGCAGGGTTTTATGACACATGTGGTACTCAGGAAGATCACTTGGTTAATTCTGTGTAGGAAGAACACTAAAATCAGGAAGACCCATCAGAAAATTACTGGAGTAATCTGGGTGTGAGATGAGATAGAGACAGACTGAAAGTTCATTTTAAAGGAAGAAATTATAAGACTATTGAACAATATGTCAGCCAAGCAATATGTCAGCCAACAATGTCAGCCAAGCATACCAAGCAATATGGTATATGCTACACATCAGCTGAGAGAAAGGAACTAATGATAGTTAGAAATTCTACTTTTTTTTAAAGAGAAAAGAAAAAGTAACAACAACCAAGACAAAAACAAAACACTATAAAAACAATAAAAACAATACAGAATTTCAGAATAAGGTGATAGGAATTAACAATGGCTGTTATATTACATATTGTTATCTTCAACAAAGCTGCTTAGATTACCACATGTAAGAATGCTAGATTGATCAAATAAAGAGAATAAAAAATTTTTAAAAATTAGAAACAATACACAGTTTCACTAGTCAAGATAGTAGGGATTCAACAATGGTTACATTGCATATTGTTGTCTTCAAATCAGTTGTTCAGATTACCATTTATACTCTGTCAAAATTGGTCAAAAAAAGAAAAATTTAAGCATTAACTGTTCCTTTCAATAAACCAAAAGACATCAGCAATACAATTATGCCAGCTATCCTTGTATATCCATATATATTTTTCCCTTCCTTCTTTCTTTTCTTCTTTCCCTCATCCCAGTTGTTCCTTCCTTTGAGCAACTTCTTTCACTTTCACAGTATCTATTGTACCTTTCAGGTTTTATTTACTTTTTCAGGTTCTTACACTACAGACAATATATTTACACATACAGGTCTGGTTTATTTCACTTTTGAGTATGGTCTCTAGTTGCACCGATTTTCCTGTAAAAGCCTTCAGTTTATCTTTTTTCTAGCTGAGTAATATGGCATTGTATGAAAATACCACATCTTTTTCATCCATTCCTCAGTTGATGGGCATTTGGGTTCTTTGCAAGATTTAGCTATGGCAAATTACACTGCTATAAACATGGGTGCACATAAATTGCTGTGGTATGATGCTTTCAATTTTTCTGGAAAAATACCCAGAAGGGGAATAGCTGGGTGGAATGGGACCTCTAGTCCTAGTTTTCTGAGGAATCTCCACATTGATTTCCATAATGGTTATAACATCAACAGTGGAAAAGGGTTCCTTCTTCCCCACAGCCCCTCCAGCATTTGTTATTGACCTCTTGATGATGGTCTTTCTTTCTGGGGTGAGACGGAATCTGTGTTGTTTTAATTTGTATTTCTCAAATGAACAATGATGTTGAACAGTTTTTCATATATTTATTTGTCATTTGTATTTCTTCATCTGAGAAGTGTGTAATCATCACAGATGCCCATTTTTGGATTGGGTCTTTGAATTTTAGCAGGGTATGATTTTCTTAATTCTTTATATATGCTAGATAGAAGTCTTTTGTCTGAGGGGCAGTTAGCTAAAATTTTTTCCCAACTTGTGGGTTTTGTTTTCATTCTGTTGGTGATTTCTTTTGATGTGCAAAAATTTTTCAATAAGATGAGATCCCAGTTGTTGATTCTTTGAAGTACTTCCTGTGCAGTTTGATTTCTGTTGGTGAACTCTTTGCCTACCCCTATGTCTTTGAGGTTTCCACCTATTTTCTCCTCTAGATCTAGATCTAGTGTTTCTGTTTTAATATTTAGATATTTGATCCATTTTGACTTTATTTTCATGCTACTTGTCTAAGCCAATATCCAAAAGATTACTGGTTACATGCTTGTTTCTACACCATCATGTTTAATGTAATACAGAACATGTTACACACATAATAGCTATAAAAATGGAATTACTCTTAAAGCTGTCTAAACAAGCACTGTGAAGAACATTTTAATTCAAAAATACCTATGCAAGAACCCTGAGACCTGAAACCAGAACAGACTTACCTATAAAGGAGCATGAAAATGGCTGTGCATTGCGATCACCTGCTGAAGTTTCTCTTCCTTGGCTCTTCTACAATGGCAAATCTAGAAGATAAATTATTTAAAATACCAGTCACTCCTCCAAAAATACAAAATACAGTGTTATAACAGAATTCTAAGTAGGATACCTTTAACCTGTTAACTTTAAAGTTTTAAATGTTGAAGGAGTTAATACTTCCCATCAGAGAAATATTTAATTTTATATGGAAAAGTCTTTACCTTCAAACTTTCAGTGTAAAATAAACTCTCACCCTTTATATCAATTCTCTGAGTATTTGATTTGAAATATCTGTTTTTTTAAAAATATGGTAAAAATTCTGTTCTTGTTAACCATGAAGATAAATATAGAGTATAAAATAATGGACTAGAAAATCAGCGCCTTATTCATACTGCAACCTAAGCAAGTCATTATCTCTCTGCACTTTTCCTCTCACAAAAATTAGAGATGATAAATCTGCATCCCAATAGCCTTAACGTGATACATATGTCATATATATTTCATAAATTTACTAACTAAAGATTATTTTTTGTGATGTTTCAGAGAAAATAGGTAAAAATCTGTCAGGCGTGGTGGCACATGCCTGTAATCCCAGCACGCGGGAGGCTGAAGAAAGATCGCTGCAAGTTTGAGGCCAGCCTGGGCTACACAGTGAGTTCAGGACCAGCCTGAACTACATAGAAAGACCCTGTCTCAAAAAAACCACCTCCCCCAAAAAACCCCCCAAAACCCTCACAAACAACAACAACAAAACAGAGAAAGTAGGTAAATATTTAGGACTCTATTAAAGGGATCTATTTTGGTTTTTCTTTAAATACAAGGGAAAAAAATCAGCAGAAGCTATTCCAGAATATTCCTGTTTTTCTAAAGTTTTATTTTTTAATCTGTACAGATAATTGCCTATTTAAAAAATTTATAAAACAAGCTGTTACTCAGAAGTATATAAAAACTGTTAAAACCAGACCTGTGCTGATTTACCAGCTACTACAGAGTGCTACAGTTACCAGCATTTCTGAAATAGAGCTATTACAGTATTTGATTTACCTGCCTGTGTACTCAGAACAAGCAGGTTTAAAGTGACAGTGGAATGTTGCTATCCTTCCCAACAAAGGCTCTTCAGATTCCTCTCATAGCACTCACATCTCCAGCTCAGTAACATGCTGAAGTTTTTTAATCATGACTGTATTTAAGTAATGTGATATTATGCTGTCATTCATCCTCAACTGAAGAGTATTACATACTGTTCTCTTTTCCATGAAGCTACTGAGAAAATCATCTATTTCAGTTTTTCCCTCCAAGAAATCTTCAGCAATATTATCAGATTCTTCCTCAGCTTCATGTGCAGCTACTTTCAATCTTGCCTGTAGGGTACTTGCACTACAGCTCTGAAAACAAAAATAAAAAACCTACCAGTCATTATATACTCAAATTCCTTAGAGGGAAAGAAACGAGGCAGAGGAATGGACAAGCAACTTGTTATATACCGTTTAGAGCCTCTTCTTATGAAAATGTGCTACCTTATAATGCCACTACTCAGGTCCTAGTTTGGGATATGATGCAGACAAAGAAACCAACCCCACTAGCTACAAACTACGGAATGAAATCCTGAGGGTTTTGGAATTCAATGGTTGTGGAAGGCACTTACTAAGATGGCCCCTATGATTCCCTACTTCACGGTATTCCTGTTCTTGTTTCATCTTCTCCCCTGAGTTGTGAGCTGGACCTAGAGATTTCACTTCTAATGAACAGAATATTGCAAGAACGACAGGAACCAGACGTGGAAGATGCTCTGGCAGAAGACTGTACAAAACTCTACTGAAAATACTTAAAGACATAAATAAGTAGAAAGACATCCCATGTTCATGGGCTGGAACACATAACGTTAAGACAACAACACTAACTGAGGTAACTTAAAAATTAAAAGCTATAAACTGTATTTGCAGAAATAGGAAAACCCATCCTAAAACCCATATAGAATCTCATGTGACCCAAAGAGCCAAAAGAATCTGGAAATAAAAACAATGGAGGGTTGATACTTCCTGGTTTTAAAACTTACTGCAAAGCTATG